GTGTCTGTGTTTTCCCAAGGATGGGGTTCTTGTTATTCTCTGACCGCGCCAGACCTCTACACTTCCCCTCCTCCCTCTCTGCACTAGACAATGATGATGATTGTCCTAATGATGACCATGGTACGGTGAGAGTAGGATGTGAGTAAGACGGTGATGGTAAATGATGGATGCATATGACGATGATGATAAGAATGATGATGATGATGATGCTGATGATGATGATGGTGATGATGATGATGATGATGATGATGATGATGATGATGATGATGATGATGATGATGATGATGATGATGATGATGATGATGATGATGATGATGATGATGATGGCGATGGTGATGGTGATGGTGATGGTGATGATGATGATGATGATGACGACGATGACGATGACGATGACGATGACGATGAGCAGATAATGAGGATGTCTCGAGCGGTTTGCTGGTTTTAGTACTCCTAAAGGGGGGGCGCCAGGGGGTATTGCACGGCCTCCGTTCGCGCCAAAATGGCGGGGATGTCTCGTGCGGTTTGCCTGTTTGCATGTCCAGCATCCTTCGCTTTCGGAGCAAACTTTGAGGATGTCTCGTGCGAGGCGCCTCCTAAGGGGGGGGGGCACCAGGGGGTGTTGCACGGCCCCCGTTCGCGCCAAAATGGCGGGGATGTCTCGAGCGCTTTGCACGTTTGCATTCCCAACATCCTCCGCTTTCGGAGCAGATGTGGAGGATGTCTCGAGCGAGGCGCTTATGTTCGCCCCTCAGGGAGGGGGAGGGGGGGCAGATTTTGAGGATGTCTCGATCGGTTTGCATGTTTTGGTGGCCAGACTCGTGGGCACATATTCTCCCCAGGATGCCAGAGGAGGCTCCAGCAGGCTCCAGGAGGCCCGAGGAGATCACATGAGGTCCCAGGAGGCATCAGGAGGCCACAGGAAGACTCAAGAGGCCACAGGATATCCCAAGAGGCTCCAGGAGGCCCCAGGAAGCTCCAGGAGGCGTCAGGAAGCCACAGGAGGCCCCAGGAGGCCACAGGAAGCGCCAGGAGGCCCCAGAATGCAACAGGAGGCCCCGAGAGGCCCCAGGAGCAGGCCTCAGAAGGCAACAGGAGTGGCTCCAATCCCATGTGTTGTACGTATGCTCCTAATTATAGATCGGGCCTCACATGGAGCACGAATCCTTGATGTCATACGTATGTTATCAATATTGCCCTTCTCCTGTGTATACAATCCTAAATGTTTTACGTATGTTCGTATAGATTGGGCCTCCCATAGGACACGAGTCCTTGGTGTTTTACGTGTGCTCCTATAGATTGCCCTTCTCCTGGGGCACGAATCCTCCCTCGAAGGTCCCAGGAGGCTCCAGGAGGCCCCAGGAGGCCACGCGAGGCTCCAGGAGGCCTCAGGAGGCCACTCGAAGCCCCAAGAGGCCCCAGGAGGCCCCAAGAGGCTCCTGGAGGCCCCAGGAAGCCCTACCAGGTTTCAGGAGGCCCCAGGAGGCCCCAGGCTCATGCGCAGAGACGCGCTCGTACTACTGAGACTCATTCACACTCCAATTCATTCGCAGTTAGATTCATGATGACCAGACCGTCACAGCTCAAGCCCGCTTGTATTCGAAAGTTCTTGCGCCTAGACGCTCACGGCGGACAGGTCCATGCGAATAGATGCACATGTTGGGGAGCTCCACGCAGTGAATAATTATTTTTTGGCGGAACAGAGATCCTTGTTTCAGCGTCTTGATTGTATGCATGAGCAGTGGTCGGAAGATCGGAATCGAATCGGATCCAGCTGGCCGTGGCCGATATCGAATTTCGGAACCATCGGATCGAGATGGGCCCTGCCTCGGAGACAGCGTTGACCAGTGATTTCCGGGCCATGAACGTTAGGTCGGGCATGTCCCCCTACAGGCGGATTTTGGACCCGGGAGCCGACGAAGACTTCCGAAAAGCTCAAACATCGTCCCTTGGAGGCACGCAGAGGGGGGTAGGGGGGGGAGAAGGCTCCTCAGAAGGAGGCCGCTCCTTAGAAGGCGCGAGCTTTGCCTTACGTCTACAGACGAGGCCCGCGCCTTCTGCGCAGCATGGGTGCTCCTAAGGAGCCTTCCTCCCTCCCCCGAACCCCCTCTGCGTGTGGCTGGACTACACGCAGAGCAACGAACCACTCGCAAGTGGCCTGGATCCGCCGCGGGGGATTCACGATCCATTGTGAACGTTTTCTTACTCAGCGTTTCGACATTGGGCGGAAGAGGGGGGGAGGGGGGGGGGTCTGGCTCCGGGCCTCTGCTTAATGTCACGGTTTGCAACCGTGCGTCCCCATACGCCGATTTGCAATCCTGCGTGAAGCGGGCGCCAGAAACAGCCAAGAGCTGCTCCATGGGGGGGGGGGGGGGGGGTCGAGGGCTCCCGCGCCGATCGGCAGAACGTGAACAAGAGAACGCCGGCACGGCGCAGAGGAAGCGTGTGGCGTTGTTCTCTACGTCCTGCGAGGGCACGTCTGCGAGCAGTGTAGCGCGCTCGG